CCTAAAACACCTGTGCTCTAAGCTACTCTCTCGGCGGTTAAACAGGAACTAGAACGGCTTTCGAGAAGCATGACGGAGCCTCCAGAAGCCCTGAAGGATACGAAGAGTTTCCATCCAAACAGAACCTGATGGGGCTTTCTAGAATATCAATGTGACATGCTACGATTAGACTGTAGCATAATGTGCCTCCTTGCGGATTGTCTGAATTATAATGATGATATAACAAACGCTAATATCTATAAATACTCATGATTTTCTGTCCATTTTGATTCTTACCCAACATACACTTCTCCAGCTTTCTTCTATCTTCTGATTTTCGACTGTGTAGTTTTATACGTTCGAGTGTTGTTCGTTTTTGTTGTATTCTGCGTTAATCAAGTAGCGAATATAACGATTTTAAGGAACGGAAGTTTAACAATTTGTATACAACTAAAACAATAAATTATTTAGTTAAACTGTGGTATTAATACACCTAATCAATTACTCATATAATTATTAGGTATCTCATAAAATTACACATTAATCAATATACTAGGTTAAATGTCAAATTAGTCGAATATAGATAGAGGCACGATTATGGATTTTCATTGTAAAGTAATACCAACTTAACAATTGTTGAGTTTTATTTTATTTCAGTTAATAATCAGACTGCAGAAACAGATAAAATCAAGTGACCCAATAAGAGCAGAGGATAAACATTTCAAATTGATAGTTATTTTATCATTAATAGTTTTGACTGCTTGTTTATCAGACGGAGTTTTTGTACTTCTAAGGGAGTTTATGTATTAACATTCAATAGACAGATATGTTTAAACACATCAATCGATTTTCTAACTTTTCCATTCTTCCATTTTTAAATAAGTGTTAACTTTAGTGACTGATCAGTCAGATGATTGACATATGCAAAAAGAATAATTTATTCTTATTCATGGTTGATTGATTTTACAACGAATTTCATTCAAGATGTTTCAATTACTGATGAAATACTATAGACAAACTGACTGAATGATCTTTTTCGATGAAATCTGTTGTCTCAGTGTGTATTAATACACTTGCATAATAGTATCAATGCTTATTTACATGCAGATTTGCTTAAAAATACTGCAGTATATGAGCATACAACTTAATTATTAGACATACATTTATGTAAACGCTAGTTCAGCCTATACAACATACCGACTTCATTCTGATTCAGCTAAATCTTATGATCCTGGCTGTCATATGAAAAAGTGTTCTTAAGAAAGAGTTAATCTGAAAACAAAGGTGAACATAACAATTAATACAAGTCACGTGTTTAACTTTCTCATTTTCAAGGTTCATTAATTCATGAAGAAATTACATTTTATATCTCTGTATATTGTTATCCAAAATCCTGAACATTAGATTATTAGGAAAAACTCTTGTTCTGCCCACATAATCTTCAGCGAGTTTAACTCTAGCGCTTAACTGTATATTGTTAGAATTTATTTTCTTTAAGAATAACTAGGTTGTTTTACCTTAGTTAAAAATCCACTTGTTCATTGTGTTTTATGATGGAATGCATTCTAGTTATATCTATGAAAAGTAACCTGTTAAACTTGTCGATAATACAAATATTTTAAATATTTAAACAACTTTGAAACTTGTAAAATGCTGAATTGAAAACAACCTTTCTATTAGTACATACAACGATTATGGTTATAAGATAGTGAATTATAAAAATAATCTGGTAAATAAGAACTATGATTAAAAGATGTCTCTTTTTTAATCTCATCTACAATCGTATTGTTATCAGCCTATTTTACGAATTTTATTTTTGTACGTTATTCTTCCTGATTTTTATCTGTAAATGTAAGTGGTAAATCAATAAAAAAGTTTCTTAGTAAACTGCAGCATTTTTTGAACAGTGTAATCTATTGACTACTTATTTTGAACGGTGTGATGTATGAGCAAAAGACTGACTGTTTCACTGACCTTCATATACCAGTGAAAACAAGTATTTGTGCATAAGTTCATCTTCAAAAATCAAAAGCATGTTATTGTAATTGAGGATAACTGATAGCACTTAGGACTCGGAACTAGCTGAGATTTTTTAATAAATGAATACTTTGAATGAGGGACTGCCGTAACATGGACTAAGTTAACAAGAAGACAAAACTGAAGAAGAACAAAAGATTCTAAAAATATCGGTAGTGGTTATAACAGCATTTTGCTACCCATCGTTCGACAAAGGTGCAGGCCACTGTTTCAGTAGTAATGTCCTTGATGGATACTACTGTAGTGACTCACATTTATCACGAGAACACGACTGGTTTAATAAAAACAATTATTATTATAACCAACTGTACCAGTGTTTGTTTTAATGTGCTTTTGTCTGACTGTGCTAATGACAGCTATTTTGTGTTTCCATTCTTATACACACACTTTGATTGTGACTTCGCGCGAATTCCGTTACGTTCTGTAACCAAACTTCTATCCTGGCACGATCTCGGTATCCTTTCGATGCCACGAGATCGCCAGCGAATATATCTCGATTTGGTCCATTAACTGTCTTCTGATATTTGGATTCTCGGGGATTTTATGGATTTATTTGGTTACGTTCAACCCTCGCCTTCTGATTTATTTGGCACGTGTTTCTTTGTAGCGGTGTTCATAGTTAATCTCAACTCGACACCACGCTACACTACTTCTGGCCATCAAGTGAACCGGTTTACACAAGTTAGGAAATAAGAGTATCCATTTGAATCTGGTAATGGTCTTACCAAATCCAGATGAACATGGTCGGAACGAACATCTGGAGTTATGAAAGAGCCTAGTGGATATTTGTTATGTCTAATCATCTTAGATTTCTGGCAACTTGCACAGGAGCGTGCCCACTCCATCACGTCTACATGCATACTAGGCTAGCAAAATCGTTCTGCTATGAACTTAAATGTTGCACGAACACTAGGATGCGAACATTTGCCCAACTTATTGAGTACGTTGAGTCGATAGTGTTTCAGCATGGTTTGACGATCCCCACTTGTAGATGTGTCACAGAGTGACGTTTTCTCACTTGTTCCATCTGTTTGGTCTGTAGTTTCAGGGCTGTCGAAGATAACTCGTGTTGAAAATCAATGTCTTATTTTTGAAGCTGTGAGAGTTTTAGAAGGTCGATTCCTTGGAAACTGAAAGCTCCATGAGGCTGCAATTAAACGCAACTCAATTTCGTAAATGTGCCCTTCAGCTTAGCAACCATGACCAAACCATCCAACTCAGAGAACAAAACCCCATCAAAAACTGCTGTCCATTTTAGGGACCATGTGTAATGTCGACGTCCACGGACTGTTCGATGGCCGAGTAATTCCCAAGTCCATCATGTATTCGAATTCTTTTCACATCAACCTTAGCCTTTTTAGAGTTAGTTGGAGCGCTTGAAGCTACAGGTGATCCAATAGTCGTGATATGGAGTGTAAGAAATTTGGTCCCACATGGTAATTTTGGTCACTTTCGGTATATTTAGGGTATTATCGAGTGTTCGCTGATAGAAGGTGTTGATTATGCGCCTCACAGTAGCTGAGAATAATCTACAACCAGAAAAGAAAGTCACACAAAACAGAAATTTAGTGTTGCTATCTACTAACCTTCGTTCCTAAGTGTCGATGAGTAGATTGTCTTGTAGTAGGTCCAGACTTATGATTAGCATAGTAACGTCCGCAACAACGAAGACCCAGTGAATGGGTTTGCGTAAGTTAATCATATCGCTTAACATTTATGGCAATCCTTTTCCCATTTGCCGCCTGTAAGTTAAGGACTATTTCATGCAGACGGTCGTTAGAATTTGCTGGGAGAACACCAACTTCTGCTCAATTGTTGAAGTGATAGAGAACTTTTGCCATTACACCTGTGTTCACTGGCTACGGTTTCCACAAACGCGTCAGGGCAGGAAAGTCTCACGAAGATTTTTTCGTGACGGTCGATTTGGAGCTCGTGAAACTGCAGATGGTTCTGCATTTTTGAGGAGGCCTGCCATATTTATCATAGTATAGGCACCAATGATGATTATCTGTCTCTAGTGGTTCAGAGACAGATCTTCGTTATGACCAGCTTCTTCGAGATGATTGAGATCGTCTACGATCACAATGAATATCGAGATAACGAGTCAGTGTGACAGGGGTCTATGATGTTGTTTTATGTTGTTTGAGGACTTTAGTTGACAGAACAAACCTTGGTGTTGTTTGTTTTGGTAATATCCAGGATCTGGTCGGCAGATACAGCTAGTTCGTCTACAGCGTTATTTTTAATGAGATAAGAATTGCCTGCACCTGTTGGGAAGCTTAGACAAGAGCTATTTAAACAGGGCCTCGCGAGAGTTGCTTTGTCCAATGACCTCTCGTATTCATAGCGAAATGTCTGCTGCTGATCCGCGTGGCACTGCCCTCACTACTGCAAGAAATCGTGAACGTGAGTCTGTCACACCGCGTTCGCGGGAGTCAGCTTTAGTGTAGCAGAACCATACTTCTATATTATTGGTCTAGGATGACACTAGCTGGGATGTGGTAGGCGAAAGTCATTTAATAATAGGTAACTTAGGCGCCTGTTCCATCATGATGTAGATACAATATATCAATGAGAGAAAAAGTAACCGGAGATATAAAAACAAAATCACAATGTATAAAAGTAAAAAATTGCACATAATGTTCCAAGAAGGAACTGACTCACAGTTTAGGATTTGGTATACCAGATCACTTCAGCCTCACTACTAAGGATTCCACAGGTATTCGGAGTTTGATAACACATGTATACGTAATACCTTTATAATCGATGTATGCCAACCCAGTGAAATAAAAAGTCAAAAATGAAGAGGTTCGAAGATATATTTGGAAGGCTATCGATGTATCGGGAAGCGTTTAATATAAACCGGCTGAAGGCTGTAAGATATGCGTGGTACGACATACCCATTCGTAATCTGGTGCGGATGCGTGACCGAACACCTTCAGCTAGATGTCTTCATTAAAACTATTTACCGCTACGAAAGGCAATTTTCGAACATTTTTCGAGTCCCTAAGATAAATATGAGAAATTATTGTGAATAAAGAATGACTTATGTAATTAGGTACATTACAGAACTCACGGTGATCTGAAACTGGAATACTGATAATTGGACAGTCATTACCCCAGACTTCGTAATTATTTAAACTGTTGCGTTCCAGCGTGGCGTATTTGGCTTAGATTTCTGCATAGAAATACATATCTGTCGATATTTTTACCTATACAAATACTGCAGTTCATCATGCCGAAGTGCATTAAGATGGATCGTTTCCGATATATAACCAGTGAAGCTTGGCGTGCTTTAATAGCAGTAAGAACTGGGGAGTTCACAAACCTTTCTTGCTTTCAGATCGAGATGGGACTAAAAAATCACGAAGTCGTGCCTCCAGAGTTAGCACTTAAAATTTCTCACCTTAGACGAAGTTGTATCGGCTTCAGCCATCTAGTTCAAGAACAGTTAATACTAAATAGGTTGGTAGCCTACGAAACTGATAACAAACATTGTAAGTGTTCCTCATGATGACCATGATCTTATCTGAAACTAATTGTTATGATATACAAGCAGTTAACGTAATGCTAATTTGCTTGCATATCTTTAACTATGTTACTATGATATTGGCGTTCCTGAAGGCTAATGACGTGTTTTTTTTCCAGCGATGAAAGGATATCGTCTTACCAACCTGGGTTACGACTACCTTGCTCTTAATCAATTTTTCAAATCAGAGCAATTGGAAAGTCTAGGAACAATGATTGGAGCTGGAAAAGAGTCTGATGTCTACATTGCTGCTGCTGGTGCGCGATGTGGGCGTCCGTCAGATGGCTCAGAAGGCCATTTGGTTGATTTCCCAAACGAAGGAGATTCAGTCGTTGTTAAATTTCACAGACTTGGGAGAACGTCTTTCAGGAAAGTAAAAGAAAAACGAGAGTATCATCAACACAGAAGTAGTTGCTCTTGGTTGTATTTGGATCGTCTAGCATCTAAACGCGAGTTCGTTATGATGCAGGTAAGTGAATGTTTCACTCTAGATCTTCATAGAGCCTTCGGAGTAATGGTATTCCTGTTCCTATCCCTTACACCCACAACCGAAATGCTGTCGTCATGTCATATATTGCTGATAGCCTGCCACTTTACAGAATACTTCCCAGTATTTTGAATTCTAATGAGTCTGCTTTTGCACGGTCACTTTACTACCAAGCCAAAAACATATTGGAAAGAATTGCTTCTCTTGGTCTTGTTCATGGTGATCTAAATGAGTTTAATCTGATGGTTTCCGATTTGGACCCTGAAGAAAATACGGAGATGAGTAATCCCAAGCTGGTTCTTATTGACTTCCCTCAAATGATCAGTCGTGACCACAAACTAGCTAACACGTGAGCTTTTTTTCAACCAAATACTTCTTTCCGAGGTCCCATATTTTTAACATCTCGATTGTCTTTATCGGTTACAATCCAGAACTTGCGTAAACGTCATAATGGTTTTCAATTCAGTTGTGATAGTACAAGCTGTTTGTAGGGCTACTACTTCATTGAACGGCTTTTTAATGTTATTTCAACAAAGTTATTATCGATATAAATCATTCAGAAACCATGAGGTCCAAAACTTAAAATCTACGGATTGGTCTATGTGTATGAAATTATCACAGAACACTACAAATCCTATCCCAACATAATCGTGACAGGCCATTCTTACTGTTGTGTTAGGGCGTAAAATTTTTATTGTAAGTATTCGTTTTACTACTGTTTTCTCTTACAAAAGTATTTCAAGTACAGTCATTAGATTTCGAATTATCTGAGTGTTTATCTCTGGAGTTTAATACGATGTGAAACAAAAATTCTATGTGAATCTCCTGGCACACGAGGTGTCAGGATTACTAAGATCAGTTCGAGAAACACTCGAGTTTATCATATGCGACCACAAGGGGGACGCGGCCCTTGAAAACTATCTTGCTAAACATTCTTATGAGTCTACAGATTCATCGACTGTCTCATTGATTCATTTTGTTAAAAACAAACTATTTGGTTGGGGTCGTCGCTATACTAAATTATGTAGCCTCGAATTGGTCATATGGTCAACCCGTCAAGTCGGTGTTTCATAATGGTGACATCAAATGAAGTATCGTTATTGTACTGAGAAATATACTGCGGAACCTTGACATTACTAACATGGTATTCCCACAGAGTGTAAAATGTGTGACAATAAAGAGAGATGATTAAACACAGGTCGAAGACAGTCTCAGCTAAAAGTCAGGTTGCATGCTGATTGTGACTATTAGTGGTCAGTCAGTCATAATCAGCGTAAAGCCTCCCACAAACATTCATTGAGCCAAGTCCTCATTGTCAAACTATCACGGTGAAATAAAATTGAGAGTACAAAATAATTTGGCAGCAATAATAATGGGGAAGACCTAATGTAGAGAATATGGTTCAAAAAGATGAAATGGAGAACTGTATATGGGGGAATACTAGAACTCTCAATTTGCCTCACTATAACCGATCCTGAGTCATGTCACCCATTGATTGCGGTTATCACGCGAACCCTAGCCAGGTAGTCTGCATCTACCAATGTGGCTTAGGCTAACAGTTAGAACCAAAAGCAGTAATTAGAATGAAAGATTATTGTAAAAGAAATTTTCCGAAATGTGTTATATTTAAGTTGAGGGCTTGTTACTTCTCAGCATCCGCTGATACAGTCGATTTCAAAACAATTCTGAGATTCTCTCGTGTGTTTGTTCAAAATTCACTTGAGAACCCATTAAAATCGATGATCCGATTAATAATATGATGAGTTGACATGTAGATGTTCGACCTGAAGCATTTTCTCAACTCTTAAGGTTTGCTAACCCCACTTGAAACTGTAAGATAGTGATTTCACAGCCCTGAGATTAAAATTCAAAGCTCTTATGCCAAAGACGATCACTGCATACCACACTTCTCTGCTTTATTATTAGCATTTTAAATGTGATCTCCAAATTCTGGTACTTTCAGGATCAGTTGCTTAATTAATTGTCTCAGTATTGTAATGTTTTAAGATCCTGTTACGCTAGCAGACGAACACCATGAAAGTGTCTTCGAAATACAAGATTAAGTTCGAGGATGTTTGGCACATATTCCACATTTGTCATGAACACAATAGTAGAGTTCCTATTCCTCACCCACCAATAAGTATGTACTGTATCATCATTAATAAAACTAGCAAGTTTTTGAGTAAGCGATAAGTTTAGTGGCACCATAAAAGTCCGTATAAACATAAATAGCTTAGTAAGCTTTATTATATATCTTTAGTTTCAAATTTCTTCCTGGTGTGTGTAAAAATACTGAAATTTTATATCAACCAAAGCTGACATAGTAATACTTTCTGTTGCTGGTGTTTAAAGTCTTATAGCTAAATGGTTGACAATTTTGGGTTTTCGAGTTATTGATTCCGTCAGTTTTAAATGATGGTGAGAAATTAATCAGAGTAGTTAATTTTTTCTTTCGTCTTCTGTTGCACTGAGTCCTCTTTTAAATCTCACTTTCTGCTTATTCTTTCCATTTCATTTGTAAACCGTTGTGTTAATTTCTACATTAAGTGTCCACTATAAGTCCAACATTATAGAAATTAAGACATCGTTTCAAGAGATTATTGAATATATATTCTATTTTCCTGCTGTATTAGTCAGTATTCTTCATTTCTTACTTGTGCTCTAGCATATATGAACGAGATGCAGAAGGTGTTGTCAACTTTTTCAGCCGTTATTTCGATATTCCACTCAACGATCTACCATCTTCCCTCGATTCTATAAAGTAAGTTTTTTCTCATTGGTACGATGGGGCACTAAATGTATATGCACAACACAATGACGATAGGTCTAAGAAGAGATAAGTAGTGGAGGGTGAGTATAATAAAAGAAAAGCAACAATGGACAGAAATTGGTGAGTAAAATAATAATAATAGGTAAAGCAATGCAGTTACGAAAAATACAACAAAAAATTTTTTTAGTTAAAGAAGTAACGTTCCTTTTATGAAGAAAGTTACAGCAGGATAGCCACACGCTTCTATTGTGGGCCACTATTGGACCATCTCTAGGACCTCAACCAGGGAGTGGCAGACGAACTACAGAAGCCAGTCCTGTGTAGTTTTCCTTCATACCACGACACCATGTCGTGCCCCCAAATGCTCTGGTACGGCCGAGGGTTCGAAGAGTTCGCTCTCCCTATCCAAATGCTATCACATAGCCACATGTATACAAACACTACAAGGGAAGTCCTGCCTTCTCGCGGCATTACTGTTGTTTACGAAATTGAGAGGATAAAAAGCGAATGTCCGGCGCTTTAACGGGGTTGGTGCACACTGAGAGTCTACCTAGGGTAGTTGGAAAATTCTGATTCCAAACGAATGGTGCATGTGGGCTCCAGGATCCTGAGGGAACAAATGGTGTGTAAACCAATTGTTGGTGACCGGCTACCATGGGACTGCATCTTCTAATGTTGCTCTACTGCCTTGTGAATTAGACCTTTAGGTCGAAGATTTTGAATGTGACCCTTGCTTCGGTCTGTGCACCCGAGCAGTATCACAGACCACATACAAATCGAGTGACTTGTGTGGCACATATGTATTCGGTGCCCCTTTGTACTAATATTTGTTGTGCACTGATTACCCTTCTGCTTTTCCCAACCGGCTCCAGCGTCGGCAAATAATGCACGATGTGGAATTCTCCGGGACGACATTCGTAGAACATTTCTAAGCCATCAAAGTCAGTGTTCCAAGATGATAACCGATTGAATCGTCGTCGCTGCGTCCGAACACACAGTGCCGTACCTCGGCATTACTAACATGGCGTTGCCACTGGATGTCAGTGCTTTCGGAGACAACGTCGGTCAAGCACAGGAAATCGTTTAACATCCACAACTCGGGGAGGCTAAGTTTCATAATTAGAGAGCAAAACTGCTCTCATCGACACGTTGTGGACCCGATCTTTTACAGTTAGACTAACGTCACGAAGGCTCTAAAGATAACCCAGGTTGGCATAATCCTCTCCGGCTTCCACTATATCTACGGACACTGCCAACTGATTGAGTGCAGATTGCATGGCTTGGGTATCATCGCTCAGTAAGATAATGTCCTCCGCATACCCAACGTTATGAAGTATTTCTTCAGGCAACAGACCTACACTACTACTCCCTACATCCATCAGGTTTGTTTCCAGAACGTCGTCGACAACAAAGTTGTAGAGTAATGGTGAGATTGGGCAAACCTGTCACCCCCATTGCTTGAATGGAACAAAGGAGAGAGGTGGTTGTATGCCGTCACTCTGCCTAAAGTGTTTGTATATAGGGTTTTTAAGATGTTAATAAACTCAGACATTCTTCAATAGACGATCTCAGATAACAGAGCTGTCCAACAAATAGTAGGTGGCCCTAATGTCAAGAAACACTACATTGACTCTTAATAGGTTAACCTCGCTTATCTACACTTTCTGGGCTATAAAAAAGGTAGACTGAACCATAGATTGGCTCTTTTTCAACAAATCATCGCTTCCAATTGTTTGTATTAGGCAACAAAATTTATCTCACCAACTAATCCAGTACATACTAATTGTTAACGTTGTAATCGCAATGTAAACCGTTGTACTTCTACCCTTCATTTGTTCTAGTTGCTGTTCATGTTATTTATCTTATCGAGCCAAATCACAGTGTATCAACTGTAGAATCATAGAAAAAACATTTGTCTAAGAAGCCTTTATACCAATTGGTACTAATTAATTTATTCCTAAATACTAAAGTCAGAATACTTTAACTCTTTGCAACTGTTAGCACAACTGGTCATCTTTTCAGTCATTGGAATAGTAATACACTGTATAGATGCCCAAATACTTTTTGTTTATATTTTTAATTTATCCACCTAAACATCAAAATTATTCGAGACTATGGAAACTCGTATCGATTTTTTTACTTGTCACGTCTTACATCAAGTTGTGTAAATGAATTTCAGTAGGATATAGATATGTGGTGAGAATTACGGATAACACTCATATTTGAAAATTTACTATAGATCTAACAACTTCTAACTACAAATTTGTGTTTACTGATGATTCTTGTGCACAGTGCATATACTAACCTATTTTACTAGACTCATTCCAGTCCTTAGAATCAATGACGATAAAATAAAGATCTTTACAAATGTTTGGTTAAGGGCTATTCAAAGCTCCTTTTTAATAAGATTATTGTTAGTGGTGGTAAGTCAATTTGTCTAGGACACCAAATCCCAGTTATTCGTATCGTCATTCAAGTGAATCATACTAGATTCAAATTATTGTTAATGTTTAGTTTAGAATTAGCAAATTATCTTTCAGATTTTGGGTTTTAAGTAATTACATTTTCCATCTTTTTCGTAGACGAGTTGATTATGTCGACGTGCATTTAAAAGCTCCGGGTTACATCTCCAAGAATGCTGCCAACCGCCATTCTAAACATACAATAGAAGATTCACTCTTAGGTTCAGTTGCTCGACTTCAATTATCATCACTGGAAAATAGCGAAGATGAAGAAAATACCCGTGACTCTGATTCGGATAGCATCGATTCTACTACTGATTCTCAAGAAAATGATCAGTCGCAGATTGAAGTTAATGATAAATCTAATTTAGAGGAAATAAACTACAATGAGAATAATAAAAAGGATATTAACAGTGTACAAGAGACAAAAATTACAACGGTACGTTTATTCTATAAAATTCGTTCAATCTCCGTAATTGTTGTTTAGAAATATTGTGAATCAGTTAGATATAATGAAGAAAATCAATAAGGAAGTGAATACAGGTGGTAGAATGATATATTCTTTTGAAATAGTAACTCTAATTGAGCGTCATCAATACATCCTAAAATTTTCCTAAAAAGAATGATTTTCTGGAAAGCCAATAATTAATAAATTGTTCAATCCCTCCTAGGTTTATTAAGAATCGCGAGTAAAGGTATCAGTAATCAGCTTTCATATCATTTAGATAAGAATGATAGACAAACTACTCTTCAGAATAGTTCCAAGTGTCCTTCGATTGCCGTACCGTTTTGAGAGAAAGTTGTAGATCAACTCATTCACTAGGTAATTAATTGTGTGTGGTTATAGTATTACCTAACTCCGCCTGGAGCCCATTGGGAGTAACAGGCGTAAGTAGGTGAAACGGAGTTTGAACCTGGGGCTTAGTGGCAGAAAGTTGAATGTCTTAACCATGAAGCCACCGCTCCACAACATAGTAAAGTATAAAGTACAATACATCGAGTATCTGATGTGTAGTGATTTTTTCATAGCTTTTTTCTTTTCTCTTATAAAATATGTATCGCAGAATGTGGTGAAATCACCTTATTTTAGTAAATTATTCCGTGAATTCGCTTTAGAAACCTGCCTTAATTACTGTTGAGGAAATTCGTGAGCGTAATCGTCGTGAAAGAAGACATCAAAAACAAGTTGACTTCAATCGTCAAATCAAACGTCATAATCGCGCTGCTATAAAACGTCAGGGTCGTCTTAATATGAAAGCTGAAGCGTTACTTTTTGGATAGCTCAAGTTGTTTATTTTTATTTTGTTAATTATTCGATCAACAATATTTTAACAGATGTACCTATATTTTCTGTTACTAACATAAACTAATGTGGATATTTCAACCTCTTTCAGAATCTTCCTTACATATTTTGTACACAATATTAAGAAGATAATTGTATAGTTACGGTATTTTTAAAATCTGGTTTTCTCGTAATTTCAGAACTTTTATTGTTTTTGATCTTGTTGTTCACTTTATAAATTGTAAATAAGTGATTTTCTGGTCAATGTATTACTGACTTTGCTTTTGCTTGACAACACTCAAATTTACGTGTGAAAATAGAAATTAAGCTAAGTCAACAAATATTTCCTCCAAATTAGAGCCTTAACATAGCTCGACACTGATTATTACGTAGGTTTTAAAACAGTTGTTTTCTTTATTTCCCTAGTATTTCTTCACAAATAATTGAGGATTGTGTATGTGTAATGTAAATTAGATAAGTCAGTATGGATGATCGAATTCGATTAGTGGAATTTTTCAGGAGTTATTCTTTCATTTCAAGTCCATTTAACCAAGTGTCACTTTCTGTAAATTGTCTTGTAAATTGCCTTATGCTAACCATTTGGGATGGTCTTCTCTGAATAGGAATTTTGTATTGGACCGACAATTTTTGAGATGGACGGGCGTTTGTCTTAACACTTTGTCAACAATTACAGTCATAACATGTATTTTGATGTAAGTTGTAAAGGTTTTGCCAATCATATTAAGGATTAAGTCACTAAAAATGCGACCCAGTATTCCTTGGTAACGGTTTACATTCAACAAACAAGAACCCAGTTAAAACTAGTTTATGTACAGCTATCAAGTTGAACGTTTGCTGTCAAAACTCCTTGTGAGGTTTTAAAAATTTACGTACCATTATAACTTATGTATTGTTTACCGAAATTCCTGAACGAGCACAACAGTTACATCTACGGCGATCGCTGAGGAGTAACTATTGCTCGAATTTTATGTACTTACTATTGTTACTAAACAGCAACGGTATGAACACTCCCAGAATGTATTGTAAACCACTGGTGTTCTGCCACTATATACATTAATATCTCATTAATTTTTCTGGCTACAGACTTAGTTTTGCTAGTTTCTTTGATAACTGACTTGAAGGAGTATAAAAATTTCAAGGACCTTGTGGTAGTTCATGGTTGTCGGCATGGCAACGTTTTATCAAATGACCTCAGCGGACATGCTTAGTTTTTAAGGCCTAACAATTGGAACTGGTATAACTCATTATGGTTCTTGTAAAGGGATTTTTGATATATTCACGCTCTATTCATTATAGATGAACTTTCTAAATAAATGTAAGCTTTAGGCATTATTGATGTACAGCAATTATCTTGTTACTAAAAGATTACATCTAGCCACAGTATCATACAGTTTAGGACTTGAATAAAGTTATTACACTAAAACAAATGACTAATTACCAGATGACTATTCGAACAAGATTTTTAATTGGCAAGATGTGATAACGGACTTAGTTTTGTTTATGAATTACTAAAAATTTATTTCGAGTTTGGATAACTAAAACATATTACTGTTAGATATAAAGTAATTGTTTTACTGGAGATTTTTTAAGGGTTTGTAACGTATATATTTGGGGGCTTGTATATATATATATATATATATATATAAGCCCGCAAATGCCCTGGTACGGCTGAGAGTTGGGAGAGTCCGATCTCCCTATCCAAATACTATCACATAGCCACATGTATACAAACACTACAAGGGAAGTCCTGCCTTCTCGCGGCATTACTGTTGTTTACGAAATTGAGAGGATAAAAAGCGAATGTCCGGCGCTTTAACGGGGTTGGTGCACACTGAGAGTCTACCTAGGGTAGTTGGGAAATTCTGATTCCAAACGAATGGTGCATGTGGGCTCCAGGATCCTGAGGGAACAAATGGTGTGTAAACCAATTGTTGGTGACCGGCTACCATGGGACTGCATCTTCTAATGTTGCTCTACTGCCTTGTGAATTAGACCTTTAGGTCGAAGGCTCCGGGTGTAGCTTCCTGATAAAAACATCTGCTTTGCTTTGGGTGCCCGAGTAGTTCTCCGACCCTCACAAAAATCAAATAGTTTGTGTGGCGCATCTGTATTTGATGCTTTCTTGTACCAATGTTAATGTTTATATATATATATATATATATACTATGGATTATATCCAACCGAAACTTCATGTGATTTCAGACATTCTTTACTGCTAGAAAATTTTTAGAAAGTGATAATATAATCTAAAGTAGCACTTTACACAAGCTGCCAATCGATAGTCAGTACCTATCACTTAATAATATTCATACAGTTATGATCTAATAGGCGGAAAATTGAATTTTTGAAGTTTTGCAACTTAATTTCAAATCTTGAAGTAGTAGAACAAACAACTTTTGCAAATAACAAGTTTGATTGATTAAAGCGATTCGCTTAATTCTAATAGTTGGATTTATGAGTTGATGTAAGTCAGACCACCATTGAAAACTTGGAAGCACTGGAAGGCCGCTTCGTCCTAGTATATGACTCCTCAGTACTGCGCACGCACACGGGGTTCAAGCCCAGGACCGTAATTTGTTTGAAATTTTCAAGTCAGATTGTGGTATTGACAGTCGTCTATTTTTCTTTTTTTAAATTACTGTATTCAGGTTTCTAAATATTATGTTTTTTTAGGAATGCTGTATAGATACATATCTAACGGATTTTGAGCTTAGATGGTTAAATAATAGGTAATAGTGAACCTGGAAAAACTACTCTTCTTCACTCAGGAAACTACAGTATCCCAATTGAATGAATATCAATAGTCTATTCAACTAGATAATTAACTTCATCTAACAAAATATTACTTTTATGTGAAAGTTTGGTACATGTTGAATAAAATGAGGAGCCATGAATAACTTTCAGTCAAGCACTTACAGATAACATAGGATATAATATTGATGAGCATCGGTCCAAGTTGCCATATTCCACATTAACATGGAGAGAGAAATTAACAAGATCAGAAAAGGCGTAGAAAAAATCGAGAATGGAATTCTTTCGAAGAACTGAAGTGATTAAGTTTGAGGAAGATAGGAGGTGATTATAACTGCGTCACAGCGATCGGTGGATGGGATTATAATGACGCAAATGAATAAATGTTATAGTGTATCTGAATCTTTGTGTACGAGACTCAAATTTATTATTAATTTTTTAAAATAATAAAGATTCCCATTGTGAAAATTAGAACAACACATATACGCGAACAATTGTTTTCAATTAGATCATCATCAGGCTTTACTCTAATATACATGAATATTTATACGAAAATCTTAAACGAATCAAGGCAATTTGGGTCAATAATCACAATGAAATAGAATAGGTCACCACATATAATAAGTAAAAATACAGGTTGATAGTAGGAAGATAGGTGTACTGATAGTAGTAAGAATAATAAAATACGATAACAAAAGTTATATCAATAGTTAAACATTGGAAATAGAAAGTGAAACGTGGGTAAATAGAATTAGAATAGTCAACACAAAACATTAAAACCATTACGTAATAAGAAGTGAGTAAATAATTAGATAGTGAAGAATACAAGCGACAAGAGGCGGAAAATGACAAACACTAGATGTGAAAAGAAGGCTAATGATAACAAAAATAGAATAAAAGAAATAGTAATTTAATAAAATCGTTGTTTGAGTTATAATCGGCCATGAGAGGGATAGGGAGGTTACGAATTTCTTCTGTACACATAAATTGGCGTTATATGTACGAAGTCCTATGGCTTCAGCTATATGTAGGAGGCGGGAACGAACTCCGTTGGGAAATGATGGAGGTATACGGTATATCTCTCGAAATGAGTTCGATTTATCTACAGCGTGAACGCTATCAGTGAGATTTGCCAAGATAGAACTGCGAATTGTTTTTATCTGTCCCTTTATAAACCACGCTGGTAGATGCTCACTCATTCGTTGGTTAATTCGCCTGGTAGTACGCCCGATATAGCTATCTCCACAGGGGCAGCTGAATTTGTAAATGAACATTGAGGAGGCCAACTTAGGTAACTTATCCTTCGTTTGCGTAGACATCGCTGGTCGATAAGAGAATTAATTTTTTGACTAGTTCAGACAACGGAAATTATTCTAATTTATATTGAGCTCTAGCCTACTAAAAATGTTCTGCAAAACGATTAATTACTGGGTTTCATTCTTAACATAGTGATCAGAATACTTTCATGTTATGGTGAGTGTTATATATTGTAATTTAGCTAATGTCTTATTCTAGATTAACAGATTTAGTGGTATTTGGTTTGGAATTTTATCAAGCTCTCGAGATCATGATAAATAATTCAAGGCAATACCCTTGTTATTGTTTTCTTTCTGAAATATGAGATGAAAACTTTGTTTGAATAAGCCAATAAAATAAATATATAAAAAGCAGCAATTGACAAGGGAAAAAGCATAAAAAAATTAATTAGACATTTCCTAATCACTTATGGGCGTAAATTAATTGAAACGTTTTTCTCTTAATCGGATTGGTTGAAAGTAATTTTGGTTGCCCTTGACATCGAATACAACGATATTGGCATATTTCTCAACTTGTTTTAATCTAACGATAGTATGAGAGACATTAACGTAGTTGGGATGTTTTTTTTATGTGTATATAAAATAAACATTTAGAATGACAAAAAGAGAAATATTAAATCTGAATCAAAACCAACACTTATTATGGATTAAGTACAACTATCTTCATAAAATAATAGATAACTTCAGTTTCATATCGACAACAAATTTAAAAGTTTTTCACACTCGTATATCTGAATAATGAACTGGATATCAACAGAAGAATATCATTCAACAAATCAAAACCATAATCATTCCTATATTTTGTCTAATCAATTCAAATCACAAAGGAATATTAGTCAACTGGAATCATTAAACATAGAAACAGATGTTAATAACACTAATAATAGAGCTTCATTCACACAATGTTCAAATTTATCATCATTAGTTGAGAATCCCTATCACATTACAACATCAAGACAACAATTATCAGAAGAATCCATAAGAGTCCCAGTAATTCCTAGTTTACCAATGAAAAATGTTGACTTTATAAATAATAATGTACAGAATTGTATTAATTGTAAAGGCGATTTAATAAACTATTTGGATAATGTAAAGTTCTCCTATAAAAATGTAGATGAAATCGATCATTTATATAAGAAACTACGAAAAAATGTATGTTCATCATCTGTTTAACTGTCTATTGTACATATTTTAATTTATTTTGATAGATAATTTGAATTTCAGGTACTATAAAATTAATTTACTTAAATGAAACTGAATCAAAGTAAATTAGGAATACTTCTAGTTGATTTGTTATTGTTATTACGGTAAGTTAGCATAATATATGCACAAACAGAAAAGTTCATATGTATATTGAAGTAT